ATTCAAACGTTCTTTATATGAAAGTTTATCAGTTTAACGAGTTCTAAGATTTTCATTTATATCACTAAGGCTAAAAAGTAGTTTATCGAAAACTCATTTTTTGCACTAAATAGTGTTTACCAGTTTTGTTGCGGATCTTCGATTGGTCATAACTTATTTGTTATAACTCGGATTTCGATGAGGTTTTCGCCTAAATGCTTATAATGAAATTATCTACAACTTAGAATAATAAAATTTAATTTATTTCAAAATTTATATTTTCGCTAAATTTCACTGTTTGGTATTCGATTGGAATCTCATAAGATTTCTAATACTTTCTGAGTGATTCTAAACATAGTTTTACTTCATTTGTAATAAAAACTATCTGTTAGAACTCAATATTCAATATTTATATAATATTTCATAATATTATTCACTTTTAAACTTACAAAACACGATTTTCAAAACATGTATGTTACACGTTGCCATTTTATAATTGTGGTTTTACTTTTATTGGCAGATAATAAGTGATAAAGCAAAGATGAGTTCAAAGTTTAATACAAATCCAACCTGGTTGGGCCCACATGGTTATCAGGGCAACAAACTTAAGTTGGTAAAAGAGATAGCATCGAGTGAGTTGCCGTCACTGTTGTATGAGATAAAAAGTGAGCGTTCATTAGCTTATGTATGCATTGGTGTTCAAAAGAATAGTTGTGGATCAACATCGACATTGGATGCTTTAGATGCGATAAAAATAATCATTTATATAGCATCCTTTTTTCACTTTTTTATATTATAGCATTAAACTTTGAAATGTCATTTTCCATAAAATTTTAATCTAAATTAATTCATGGTGTTTACGTTTTATGATGAAAATGGATTTTAATTTTAATTTGTAGATGACATGTTTGAATAAATTAAGTAACATTTTATTGAATATGTCTATGCGTTAAAACATATAAAGGAAACAAGAAAAGACTTCTCAAAACTAGAAATGAAAATTGTCGTATTCGTATTGTATTTGAGAGTGAGGTGAGTGGGCACTATGTAATGAAATGGATGTTTGATTTTCAAATGACCAAACAATATGAATTCACGAATAGAGTAAAGTATATTATATATATATATATATATATATATATATATATATATATATATATATATATAGAGAGAGAGAGAGAGAGAGATTATCAAATGAGAACACCTAAAAGTTTGACAATGCAAAAACAAAGTATATTAATTTGTGATTTTATGTATTCATTTATGAAGAAATGATAAATTTTTACCCTTTTAATTTCAATTGAAAAAAAGAAAACAATACTACTTCGTGTGTGTGTGTGTGTATATATATATATATATATATATATATATACATATATATATATAGGGTTAGGTTTATGTGAGACGGTCTAATTTTGTGAGACCGTAAGACGCATTTTTTATATTTTTTTTATTATTATTTTTTATTTTTTTTAGTTAATTCAAGTTCCGAAAATAATATTTAAAATTTTTTTTTTGGATTTTTTCATTTATTTTGCTTTTTAAAATTGTTTTTTAGAATATGTACAGTGTAATATTTTATTAGAATATTTCACGTATTTTTCAAAAACAGGATTTTTTTAGTTAATTCAAGTTCCGAAAATAATATTTAAAAAAAAAAAGAATTTTTAGATTTTTCTATTTATTTTGCATTTTAAAATTATTTTTTAGATTATGTACAGTGTAATATTCTATTAGAATATTTCACGTATTTTTCAAAAAAAAAACGGGATTTTTTTTTAATTTTTGTTTAATTTTTTTAGTTAATTCAAGTTCCGAAAATAATATTTAAAAAAAAGAATTTTTGGATTTTTCCATTTATTTTGCATTTTAAAATTATTTTTAGATTTGATCTTACAGTCTTACAAAATTTGAATGGTTTCAAATGAACCTGAACCTATATATATATATATATATATATATATATATATATATATATATATATATATATATATATATATCATTTTGTCTGCATCAAGAAACTATTTTGTTATGTTATTCACTTATTCATGAATTTTAATTTAATATTTCATATAGTTTGGTACCATTTGGAATGAAAAAGCTCCCTTAGAAGAAAATGTGTTGGTTACGAATGTGGCTACGTCGGCTCGAGAGCTCGAGAATTTCTGAATAATTATCTGAATGATGTTATTTAAAAGTGCATATAAGGTTAGTTGTTAATGTTTATAACATGCTTTTATTAGAGACCGACTCAAGTCTCAGAGTTAGAAAAAGATTTATCTTCTTTCTTAAAGTAACACACCCAATCCATAACCCCGTACCTACTTCCACTCCTTCACCAAAATATTTATCTTCTTTCTTAAAGTAACACAAGAATAACTAAACTTGTTTGTGGCGAATCTTCGGTAACAATACACTCTATCTCTCCAATATTAGCTTAAGGGTAAAAAAAGTCCAAATATTTATCTTTTAATTAGTGGAAGTGTAAAATGATCAAATGGAAATATCGCCATCCATATGAAAATAGTTTACAAATTTTATATTTTAGTAAGATCAATATTATTTCTACAAGGTTAAATGAATCTTAAAATTAACTAACATAAATATTTCATGAAAAATACAAATTAATAAAATTAGGTAATGCATGGTTTCTAGGGTTTATAACTTTTATCATGACTTTAAGGAGCGACTTTAGACACTTATGATAGAGATTGTGAAGAAGAAGAATGAGGGATACCGACTAACTAGTTCAAGATAGAATTTAGACAAAACTGCAAATTTGGTCCTTGTGGTTTGCAAAAATCTTTGGATAGGGTCCAAAAAGTTTCCGGCTTGCATAGAAGATCCAAAATCAAGAGTTTTCTGGGTTTTTGTTCATAAACTTAAGAAAATATTGTATTTTTGGTCCATAGAGCACTTGAATTGATTATTTTGCCCTTTAAGTTTCTTTTTTGTATTTTTTATGTTTTTATTTTATAAATATTAATACAAAAAAGGAATTAAGTTGGCTCTCTCTCTCTCTCTCTCTACCCACCCCCACCGGAGCCCTCCCCCTTCTCTCTCTTCCTCCTCCTCCTCCTACTCTCTCTCTCTCCGTTGATTATTCTCCCTAAGTACTCTTGTTCTCTTTGAAATGAAGAGATTGAGCAATCTCAAAGCCTCTAGCAGCTTGCTTTCATGAGTAATAATACTAAGTAGAGATCGAAATAGATTTGCAGACACCATTTTCATGATTTCCTGCACTGAAAAGGTGAGATGGGATGTTTTAAATCGAGCAACAATGGATAAATCATGCAGCAATGTTGTAATCAAGCAACAATCGGGCACATTCCCTTTTCATTCTAGACCGAGGCCTAGTAAAAAAAGGGGAGAAGTCTCCCCTGTTCATCATCTTCTTTACATAGACCTATAAATCTCTCATTTTTTGGGGTTTCTTTATTTCAATCGTCAATCAACACTTCCAAAAAAAGAATCAAACCTTTGGTCTTGGTATTGGTTGTTAACTGATTGGGGAAGTAGTACATCTGTTCTTTATCTTTTTACCTATCCTTGGTGAGGTTGATTGGTGGTGGAACACATATAGTCAACTTGTGGTCCTCGAGAGTCCATACAAACACACAAACGTCAAAGAAATCCGGGCTCTTAAGAAGAAAGGACAATCAAAGCATATTTTCACAAGTAATCGAAGTTTTGACATCTGGGTTCAATACACACATTGAAAAACTGAAAAAAAAAAAAAAAAAAAAAAACACACACACACACACGCACTCGAAAAGTCAAAAATGGTGTAAACCCGATTGAAGAAAAATGGAACTTGTGTGTGATTTCTTTCTGATTTGCAGGTCGTGTTTATGATTACAGTGGTCGAAGGTGGGAATTATGATGTGAAGGGGGTTTGCTTATCAGTGAACTGTAACAAATATGAGGTTGCAGGTGGTGTGTCCAAGGAGTGAAGATGGTGAGAAGATGATAGACCTGTGGGAAGAAGAGGATGGAGTAGTTGGGTTTTTTTGGTCATAGGATGAGAGAGAGAGAGAGAGAGGGGGGGTACAAGTAGGGGTGGAGTGGGAGTCTATCCTTTTTTTTTGTTTTTTTTATTTTTATTTCATAAAGTATTAAAATAAACAAGAAAAGAAAATACAAAACTGAAATTTAAAGGGTAAATAGGTAATTTTAAATTTTTTTGAACCAAAAAACCCAGAAAACTCTTAATTTTGGATCTTCTTTGCAAACCGAAAATTTTTTGGACCCTATCCAAACATTTTTGCAAACCATAGTCACCAAATTTGCAGTTTTGTTTAGAATTTATGAAGACTTTGAGATAGGCTTAGAGTGATGTGCGCGGATCAAGTATGTGAAAAAGTGAAGAGTAACATTTAAAGAAGAAAAGATTAGGGCTACGATTCTCAGTTTTCTATTTCTCGTATTATTTTACTTTTTAATTGCCAAAGATAACATAATTAAATACTAAATTATTAAATATTAATAAGTAAAAAAAAAAAAAAAACTAAAAAATAAGTATAATTCTAAAGCAGTTAGCAGATTGGAAATTTACTTGGAATTTTAAACCCTAATCCAACCCATCTAATTAAAAATGTTAACAGTCCAACAAAACAAGTTTATAATTTTAATCTGATCATTTTAAATTGCATTTGATTTAAATTGACTGCTTATAATATTTTTTGACGCAAAAAAAATAGTATTATAATCACGAATTTTTTAACAAAGACCGTGAGAGGCTATCTAGGGAAAAGTTTTTTTTTATGAGATTTGAACATGTGATCTACTTTAGGAACCATACCAATTAATAATTGTCGTTACATCTATTTTTCTTATATTTAAGAAAAAAAAAATCATTTTAAGCCAATTTCAATATCTTTTCAACCTCCCAAAAATAACAAAGATATGTGATGTTAATGTCAGAAAAACCTTACTCCTACGAAAGTTATCTCACAAATTCACATAACATTTCTTACAAAAAAAAAATCATGATTATTGTCTTGTAATAGATGAAAAAAACACTAATTCGCAGCCGGTATGTCACCATTGCTGACATAACGAGAGATCTGTCCTGGTGTCATGGGGAGGCACTGGTGAAGCTCCCCATCCATGCAAATTTCAAACAGGATATCCATAGTGAAAACTGGTCGTTGGCATCTGGTGCACCAGCAGCGGGTGTTTGAGAGAAGAACCTTGTACCTAGCTGTAGAACTTTGTTAGTAATATCATTTTTTTTTTTTTTTTTTTTTTTAAATATAATAAAAATATAAATGATTAAAAGTATAAATTTTACAACGGTAGTTTTTCTTGTATTTCTCTCTCCAACTCGGTTCTTCTCCATGTTCACCAAATAGATCTGGGTTAATCCTCCCAAAACTCTCTGAATCTCTTTCCCATAATCTCCTCCACAAAAATTCATCCCTAGCTAGTGTTCGCCAACCTCTATATTGATATTGCACATACATTCATCAATAACAAAACAAAAAAGAAACAATAAGTTTATCTTTCTAAATATATATAAAGGGTTGAAGATCAATTGTCATCCAAAACAATCTATATATAGAAAAATTAAATAGCTTATTACTTTTTGTTTCTACCATCTTCTAACTATTTAAGATGGTGAAGAAAAAAGAGTAAATTACACGAATGGTCCCTATGGTTTGGGGTAATTTGCGCGTTTGGTTTCTAACTTATTTTTTTAACTCGGAAGGTCCTTACTGTTTGTTTTTGTTACGCGCTTGGTCCCTAATGTTTGTTTTTGTTACACGCTTGGTCCTTGTCTTACCCAAAATGACTATTATTTAAATACAAAAAAATGATGGGGCAGGTAAGATAAAGTGAAAGGGGTGGGATTGGGGGTGTGTCTATTTAAATAGATTAAAAAATCAAAGGTAAAATAGTCTTTTTATGTATGATAGGGATCAAACGCGTAACAAAAACAAACAATAGGGACCTTCCGAGTTAAAAATATAAATTAGGAACCAAATGCGCAAATTACCCTAAACCATAGGGACCATTTGAGTAATTTACCCAAGAAAAAAATATAAATATTTTTTCTAATTATTTTATTTTCATTATTTGTTCATTGTCTAATTATGGTCTATAAATCAATTAATTATATTATGTTCTTTTATCATTTATTAAGGCATTTAAAATAAATAAAAATCAATGAAAGTTTATTGTGGTAATCTTTTTATTTTTAATAGTTTATATTTTATCTTATTTTTAAGAGTAATCATGTGGTTTGGAGTAAAAGGTAGGATAAGACCCACAATGTATTTTTTATTTAAGCTATTTGTTTTAATAGATAGTTATAATAAAAAAAACAAATTAAAATGTTATTTTAGGTCTAATAGTTAAGGACTATTCATATAACTCTAATTTTAACTACTTTTTATTTTTATTTTGTATAATATATTAGATATCAGAAAAAAAAATATATTATTGAAACATTAATGAAAAGTTATTTTTCTGTTGTAAAAAAAAAAAGAAAAAAGTTAACTTACTTTGATATGCCGGAGGAATTGAGAAGGTCTTCTCGGTCTAAGTGGCTCAGAATCTCAGTCTTCAGTGCAATTGGTAAGTTCTCGAACCTCTTAAAAGCACCTGAAAATAATAATCAACTTAAAATAGCTTTATATAAAAGCTTATAATTTTAACAAATTTTTGCAATCTTATTGATTAAAAGAGAAATTAAATTGAACAAACTACTGGAATGGTCTATATTTTTGCAAAAATTTTACATTTGGTCCTTGTGATTTTTTTTGGATTCGGATAGTCCCTCAATTTTGATTTCGTTACGTTGGGAGTCCTGCCAAACAAGGAAAGACAATTATGCCCTTACCAATTTATTTATTATTTTATTTATCATTTACTATTTACATTCTAAAATAAAAACAAAAAGAGGCTCCCCCTAATGTATTACGTCTTTCTCCTCTACCCTTTTCTCTTATCTCACCGTTCACTTTCTCTTCCGCTCATCTCCCTCACAACCACCATCTTCATACTGTCATACACCTCGCCGGAACATACACGTCGGACTGCTGTGCTTCCCAGCGCCACCAACCTCCGCCCCCTTCATCTGTCCTTTTGTCGGCAACATACCAGTTCCATCATCGGAGGAGGATAAAAGCTTTTTGCCATTGAACAGCCATGAAACTACCAGCAAATCGAAGACTAGGTTCCCAATCGGAGGTCAAGTGTGCTTTCCCGGTGACCTGGTTGTGAATTGGAGCTTAAGTTTTTTCTCCTCTTCAGTTCACAAATTGTGCTAGAGGCTTCAAAGGCGGATTCCGATCATCTGGGACAGAAACCCAATCTGGAGCTTTTATTGGTTCTACTGATGATCTCTTAACTGAAATCCTTCTCCGACTGCCTGGATGAAATCGTTGTTGGTGGTGTCGGAATCGTACAACCACCACCATCTGTCGCCTTCCTGCGTTTCCAATTAACGACGCCCTCCGGTGAAATCCTTCACCCACGATCAGAAGAAATCAACCACATCGAAGAAACCGACGAGGTTACCAGTTCATCTACTTGATTTCGGGTACCATTCTAGTGTGTGTACAACCCTAATTACTGGGTTTAATTACATGTGATCTTTTTGTCTTCGGCCCTAAGATCCCCTTCATCATTTTTATACGTGTTCAAGCCGCCACCTCCCTCTGATTTTACTCCTCATCGCCGGAAATTGAGTTTAACCTCTGGTTAAACCTAACCACAGTGGGAGGTGGTTAATGACAGTGCGGGTGGGTTTCATAGCAGTAGCTGAGTTTTGGGGTTAGATTTGGTTAGCAATTTTCGTTTTTTAAGATTTTATTTTGGTTTAATTTTCATAAAGGTTATTTTATGGTTGCTGGTGGTGTTGCAGGTTCTAGATTTATTTTTCCGGTGGACGGCCGGTGGTGGTGGACTGGGTGTCGGAAGTGGGAATTCAAGAGTAAGGGCATTATAGTCATTTGCTGTTGGACAGAGACTTACAACGTAACAAATCATCCGACTTCAAAAGAAAAGATTGAACTACCAAGAACAGGGACATTTCAGTAATTTGCTCATCAAAAACATATATAATAATACCTTTCCTTTGCTGGTTTTGTAGAGCTACCAAAAACAGTCTTTTATTTATTGGAATTGGAAGACCTCCTGTAAAAATTTCAACTTGATGTCAAATTTATTTTTACATTTGTACAAAAAGTTAAACAAACACACAATATATAAAAAGTTATTTCTCATTACCATAAATTTTCCAATTCTTTCTAGTTACGAGCCTTCTTTTGTACTTTAAAGCAAATGCCCTTTTTTCATTCATTAAATCAATGGACCTTTTTTCCTTGATTGCTGTTGTTATTTGAGATGGAAGCCTTCGGAATCTCTCTATATCAAGCATATTGTCATCGAGTCTTTTGATACATTCTTTCAGATGAATCCTCATTGTATACGCCTCATGAAAAGATATGTCTTTCTCCATCCTAATGTATATACATAATTAAGCATGTTGAAGCTTATTAACAACAGAAAAAAGAAAACCTTAAGAGTTAAATACTATGAATACCACTATTGTTACAAAGCAAACCCAGTGGATGTGTGGGATTGTTTTTTAAATTTTAAAACAACTTTTGACAAAAATATTTAGGATGCGTGTTTGATTATGAAAACCTATTTTTATTTTTTTAATTAGAAAGGTTTTAATCTGGTAAATATAGTAGAGTTTTAATTTTTAATTTTCAAGGAAATCTTTAGAAAACAAGTTTTGTTAAAAGCGGTTGTGTTTTCATTTTACGTTCTTAAAATTTAGAAAACTGTAAAAATCACTTTTCTAATTTATATATAAGTCGGAAAATAGGAAAATTTTATTTTCTTGGAAATTTCTTGAAAATTGAATAAACCAAATGCATTTTCAAAATTTTCATGGAAAATTAGAATTTTTTCACAACAAAACACATTCTTATTGACTTGTGACTTTAAAAAAATTATAAAACAATGTTTGGATTAAATTTTGTAGTTGGAAAAGTAACCCAAAATTATTTATTGATTTATGACTTTTCCAAAAACTATGTTTTATAACTTTTTGATTGGATTGGTTAAAAAAACACCATATTTTACCACATAGACATTCTATTTAGTTTGTGAGGTATTTTTATTGGTTGAAATACCTTTTTTTTTAAAGTTAGTTTATATATAAACAATTAAGAGAAAAATACATAGAACCCCAACCAATTATACATATATACGTAGAAAAACACTTATGTTATTATATATGTTTCAAATAAAACCAAATTATAGATTTTTAAAAGAAACGATAAGCTAAACATATGATATATATATATATATAATATATATATATATATATATATATATATATATATATATATATATATATATATATATATATCCCTTATATTTCTTTGATTATATGCAAAAACATGTCAAACCGAAATACATTTCGATTACTTTCACTCAATTTTATTCTCTATGTGGTTGATTTTTCTCTCATTAACTAATTGTTTTTTTATCCCAATTAAAACCAATGTCATATTGATAAACAAAAATGTAAATGACATTAGATTTTTAGTTGTCAATTTCTCTTAAAAAAACTATATTTTGGTCTTTTTCAAATATAAGGGTTTTTTTAATATAAAAATAATATAAGGGTTTTTGTGCATCTACATATATAATTGGTTGTGATTTTCTATATTTATCCCATCAATTAATTACTTTAGATAAAGATGTGCATAAAAATGTATAAGTAATGTCAATTTAACATCTCGTTTTTTGACGCCTCCATTTTATCCCATGGCAAAAATTCATTTCATCAAGAAGTGAAACACGTTATTAATTTATTAATTTTTCGCAGAAATATTATCATCAAATCATCAAATAGTTATGTACCTGGGTATAGTGAGAGAAACAGTCTCAACATCCTGAAGAATCCTGCGTGTGAGTTCAGTGGGCACCGTCCAGTGGATATATCCAAGAAAATGGGCGAGATCCCTGCATATGGATCCGAAATGGTTCTCGTTTTCAACTTCTTCAATCCTCATCAGTGCAATATATCTATTTAACTGGTCCATTTTATCTGAAAAAACATGAAATGAGAAACATGAAATTCGAACATGAGAACATGAAATTATTGGAATGATCTTTGCAATTTTATTAATGTTGGAGTGATCTATATGCGAATCATATTCATTCTGTTGGAGTGATCTGTGTTTGTTGGTAAGTTAATGTGAGCAACCATTCATTCATCAGGTGTTGGAGTTGAGAGTACGAAGGGAGGAATTGTTTCAGTATACAATTATGGCGGTGCGAAAGTTCTCGATCGTGTCTCATAAATGTAATCGGAAAATATTGGGGAGTCATTGTTATGACGGTGGGGGGATAAGGGTTTCGACGGAGCACGTCGTCTCCATCTGCATGAGAATCCTGCCATAGATGATCGACTCTGAGTTGTTATGATTTAGCTGTTGGACGAACCCTCGTCGGACCTCCGTCAACTCAGCGGAATGCCGCCCTTTCATGTCCTCTGGCAGTCCGGCGAATGTTTGATGATCATGTCCATTTACGAGACGATTCAAACAGCGATCATCTCAGAAACTAATTCGCTAAGATCTACGTGCATTTAGTAACTCAATATGCGATTCCGT